AATTAAAAGTCAAAGTTAATTAGGAGCATGTTTAACGGGCTTCTCAAATTTCCGCCGTCACAAAGCACTCTAAATTTGTCGCAGTGGCTATAATTGAGAGAAAATATGACGGCTCTGAGACATCCTGCATATTACAAATAGATAATATTATGTATCCGCGGATAGGGGCGTTTCGCGATGCGTACGTTATCTGCAGTAACATTGCGGTAACATGATTATAACACATTGTAAAATACAGCACGTTGGTGTTGAACCGGACAAATGCGTGTAACAGATCCGCCTGCATAGAGCGAGCCGAGTGCATTTGAATTTGAATGCCGCGGAACTAGTTTACGCTTAACGTATCATAGCGATGTACTAAGAACACGGACTGATAAAACTTGCGAAAAGGAGGAGCGCGCGAGAGCGGAAATGTGAATGAAGCCATCGAGGAATTTACGAATTAACGAGCGATTCGCAATTACGATTGTATCCGCAAAGTTTGCTGAACCTCATGTCCTAATTATAACTAATTCAACTAAGGCGCCGCTCAACCGGTTCTGACACGGCACTCGACTTCTACGTCGTTAAATGAGCATGCGTCATATAAATTTTAAGGCAACTGCACATAACACACACGCACACACGCACACACACACACACACACACACACACACACGTACCCCCTCCCCCCACACACAGACATACATACACACATGTATATATAAATGTGCTTTTCTCACATGATTACAATTCCTCCAAGAATCTTGCAAGCATTGTACATCCTTGGCGAGTCGTTGTATTACGCACTCGAGCGAGCGTGTGCAAAATTTTATCAGGCGGTATCACAAAAATGATCGAATTGTCGTTACGTTTACACTTCGGAGAAGGAGCTTCCGAGGCGAGAAATCACTGCAAAGATCAACAAGGTGAAACACTTGTCTCACGTACTCCACCACTGCGGCCGCGAGGATTAAGAAAACAGATCGAAATATCGCGAGATCTCCGACGCGCGCGCGAACAAGCGACCGAACTTCCTCCTTACCGATCTAACGGGTGAATCACGGCCCCCGTTAATCGACCCTGCCGGCTCACCCCGAAATTACGGAAAAGAGCCCCGCGTCTCTCTCTTTTTCCCTCGCCCTCTCTTGCTCGCTTTCTCTCTCTCTCTTTCTCTCTCTCTCCCTCCCTCTTTCTCTCTCTCTCTCTACTCTCTCCCTCTCTCTCTTTCTCTCTTGCTCTCTTTCTATCTCTCTCAATACGCGTGTGTGTTTCGCCCCTATCCCCGGTGCGGTCTCTCGACGTTACACCGCGCGCACCACCGGTGCACGACGCGCGATACTCGACTCGCGCGTTGTAATGGTCGATCGCGGCTTCGACCCTCTTCCGAGCCATCGAACGGCCCGAACGCGGTCGGATTTTTCGACGTTTACTGCCTTTAGGCCCCTGGACCATGCGTCCGCACGCCCGCCCGCCACCCGCCAACCCCTCTCATCCCCATGTTCCCCCGGATACTCAAATTGACCCGTCGTGCTCGATCCACCCTCCCTCCCCCGCCTGCCCCTCTTCCGCCATCCGCAGCGAGCACAGTCCCCCCCTTGCTCCCTCTGCCGCCGCCGCCGCCGCCGCCGCCGCCACGGCAGTTGCCACAGCTTCCAACCTTTTTACCCCTGTACCAACCCTGCTTTTTCCCCCGTTCCGCCCAACCGCCCTCCTTGCCTACGCTGCCACCCCCTATCCCCCTTTTTATCCCGCTCTCCCTTGCGCGCTCCACTCATTATAGTTTCTCCCTCCCTCGCCGCGCACTCCCTCCTCCCCTTCATCCATCTCCCCCTCTTCGCCCCCCTTCCTCACGCGGCCTCCACCTCCTCATCCTTCTCCTCCGCCTCCTCGCCCGCCTCAACCACCACCATCCGTTCGCTCGCTGCTGCTCTCCCTTCCACCCTTACACGTCGCCCACCCTCCACCCGGTTCAACGCTCTACCGCAACCCTGGGAAAACCCTGGAAAATCCAGCGGCGTGCACCTAACTTCACCGTGGCGTATATGTGTATGTGGCGCATGTATGTATGCATGCATATATGCTGCACGTGCATGTGCCGGTGACACACGCAAGCAGGGGTTGCGTGTAGCTACCGGGTGTCCCGGAATCATGGCCGCTTTCTTTCCTCAAAGGATTTATGCACCACTCGTAATGGAGCGGGGGCATTTTTTCGACGGACGTGCATAAATATGCCATCTGCATTTTCTCCTTTTACAACCGGAATAAAATTGAGAAAGCTTAATTAATTGCGCGTGAGAACGCGTCGCAATTTTTTTCATCTCTTATCCCCCACATCCTGGCGCAACACACTCGACGGTCGTGGAGGAAAAGTGGTGTCTGTTGAAACTTTTGGCGAAGAAACGCCGCGTCGACACACGATTGCGGAGTTTTTAGATGAAAGAAACGGGACGATTTTTGGAACACCCTGTACGCGACGTTGCGTATGAGCGCGTATACAGGCGCCGCGGGAGGCATGCGTACGTAATGGGCATCGGCCAGGCCGTTAGCGCGAAAATTGTTTATTTAAAGCCCGAGCGGATGCACGCGCGCACGGGGATGGTCGCGCGTGCGCCGCGCGCGCACGCATCGGAAATTGCATACGTAAGAACGGCGGACGTGAACGCGCGTGAATGCGTCGTGCGTCTCTGCGCGAATCGGACGCTCGCGGATTCATCTCGTTCCCGGCATTAACGGGATCGCCGAAGAGGGAAACGAGAAACCTTGCGGGAGACGCGAAATGCTAGGAAAATCGAAACAGAGGAAGCGGGGGAAGAGGGGGGGAGGAGGAGGATACACGGGGAAAGGTCGGGAAAAATCGCGAGGAAACTGCAGACTTTTTCCCGCCGCGGTGGACGACGATAAGGGAAGGAACGGTTTGACAGACGATATCTAACCGCCGCTCAGAGAGGCATAGCTGCTATTAACGTTGAAGGAGAACGAAGTTAATACATACGTTCAGCGGAGAGCTCAACCTCTCCGATCACTCGGATTACAAAGATTACAGCTATAACCGTAGTGTAACTACCTAATGTACCTAGTACTTTCGCCGATCGGACAGTCGGCTTGCTCGCGCAAATAAAGTTGCCACGTTTGTGATTAACAATGCGTTAATAGTACCGCGCCCGCGTTTACTTATGTACGCGTTCCCCGATATATCTTATATTGTCATTACGTTGGTACGGGCAAATATTTGATCGCGATACACTCGGACGAAAGCAAACGCCTACGGCTATTATGGCAGTGTAATAATCGGGCGCGTAAACCTGCAGGTAGCCGTGCGTTTATATTATATATTACGCTACATTACATTAAGCATGTTGTATGCGTACAGCGCGCCCACCGCTGATAAGCGCGCGGACTCGTGCAGGTCCACGTAAATCGCGGGGGCCCCGGCAGCGATACGTCGTGCATGGGGGCGCATTTAATACGCACGTGCTTGCCGTGCGTGCGCTTCGGCAGTTGCGTCCAAGATAGCCGGGGCTATCGTTATTCGTCGCCACCGATCAAGCTGCGCGCGAATCCGAGGGAAGCGGGGAAACCGGCCATTTCGTCACCTTCGATCGTCAGGGACCCTTTAATCGACGAGTCGCAAGCTGCTCGAATCTTTTACGTCAGGCCCCACTCCGACCAGTGTATCGATCACGCTAAGACTTGACGAATTAGCGAATGTTTCAACGTTACGTAAATATCTCTTCCGGCGATTAACACTGCCCTGCTTTTAATAGAAAAATTGCCAAGCCATGCGGGGACCACGATACAAAGGACCCAATTATTTCAGCGTACTCCTGCCGGGAGTGAGCTTTTGCGCGAAATTGATCAAGATTTTTTTTTACAGTATCCGCGCTGTGCCGCATATAAATCATATTAAAATGTATTAATCGACGTTGCAAGCAAGGCAAAAATAAACACATAGCGTATGTACATGGGATATGTGCCGTATTAAAACTGTAGGTTTTACATCCGTGCCGTGGGTGATTTATGCGCGTTGTAACGGCAGCTCTCGCTGTGTGCTCATCGATGCAGGCTTCGCGATTTCAGATCCCGGGTTCCCCGGTGCAGAAAAAAGCGCGAGATGAGGGCTCGCTCGGGTCATGGAGGCTGCTAGGCTCTCAACGGGCTTTTCCCGGATCCGCGAATTTTACCGTGCGCGCCCCAGCGTCGTTTTACTTCGTTTACGAATCCTAGTTTACATTTATCCGCACACGCGGAGTCCTGATTACGCATTAATCAATGCAAAAAGAGTCGGCTCTATTAACTTTGCGTGTTTTACGCTTCGCGTTTTTATTTCCTCGGCCGCGGATGACGAATCGCCCGACTTTTTTTCGGAGCGATGGCCCTGAATGATAATCGCTCCCGGCATTCTCCTCCTGTCTCCCATTTTTCTCGCCGACTCTGATTTTCTCGTTGACTTGATAATTACTCTCCTCGAAGCGCGTCTAAGACGAGGCGCGCGCAAAGCGCACTCGATTTTCCCGGGGCGGGTATAACGTTATGCAATTTTATGCGGAAACTTGGAGAGACGCAAAGACGAGGCTCGCTTGCAAGACTATGATAATGGTGTGGGTTCGTTAGCGCCACGATTGTCGGACACATTGGCGCTCGTTTATACGGATGTTCGGAATTCGAATTGCGAATTCATGCCCTGGTAGTAGTACCTGTCAGTGGCTACAAGACTCTTCCTTTGCTCGCGCTCTCCATTTATTATTATGACTTCGCTGCTCCTTACCGTTTTCGTCACGAAACACTTCCGTTTCCCTTTTCACTGTATTTTTCTATTTACGGTCGCGTTGCTCGATTGGTTTTCTTTCGAAGCGAATTAACGAGGTGTATTCATTAAATTAATCTCAATAAAGTTCGGCCTAAAATATGCCGATTTTGCCAATTAACGTCGTGTAAATTTCGTAATCCTTGACGAGAGATGGGCACGCGAAACGATACAATAAAGATATGTGACGTAACTGTGTGTAAATGTGACTTACAGAAGTGATTTCCAGGTCCAGCGTAGTGATGTCCCTTATAAGCCGCGAACAGTCCGGGGTTGATACCAATCTGTAAAGTAAGACAGACGACGTTAGAATCTTTCGCGGACATTTCCAGACGCCATTTTACAATATGATAAGTAGTCTGAACAAATCGCGAGTACACGATTGCACACGCGTTTGCGCCAGTTGCAGACACGACTGTCTCATTGTCATTTTAATTAGCCACGTTGGTAATGCAAAAACAAACGGATGTTCTCAAGTCTCTCACGTCTCGACGTCGCTGTTATTTGTTCCGCTTTGAAAACGCTTCAAACCCACTCCGCGTCGATCGTCTAGAAATTAATGCTCATGCTTATTTCCAACTTATTTCCGTGTTTAAAAAACTGCGAAATTATTGTCTTTCTTCGACTTTCCGCCGAGTTTTTCCAGAGGGGGGAAAAAGTACGCCCGGAGAGACGAGTCGTTCGTGTCACGCGTTGTTGTCAGCGTAATTAATTTCGCTTTCCGCCGATCGTCAAAGCTAAGTCTAAGACTCTGGAGAAAAACGTTGGCTTTATCGATGTTCCTCTCGTTTGACACGCGATGAATAAAAAAATACACGCGTAAAACGGGAAATGGAAATCGATTGTAAATCCGTACACTGTTAATTAAGGCAGACCGTGGCGTGATTGATTATGTATATAGATGCAATATGATGAAAACTAATGGCAAATTATGTTGATGGCTTGAATTTAATGAAGGCATTTCGATGAATAAAACTCCAGCGACTGTATAGGCATCTCTTTAGAAAGTAATATTTTTAACGCGGTAGAAAATTTGGCGTCCGATCGTAATTACAAATAAAAAGAAGAGGGAAAAAAATGTGTAATAAAATGAAGCATACATTATGGAAATATAGTTTGAATGTGCGCTATATGCATAATGTTTAATTTAGCTCCCGAAAGCTTTCGAAAAAGGTACGCCGGACGAGAAATTGCGTGTATCCATATTATATGCGACGAAATTAATTCCGCCATTACGAGGGCAATACCTGCTTCAATGGAGCGTTTTTAATCTGTGAAATTCCAAGCTACCCCGGCCAAGTTCCGTTTCGCGGACCAACTTTCGTCTAATGCGTTTTCACGGACGCGAAAGATATTTGTTAAACGTAATTGCCAGCTGATAGTCGTAATGCGCGCCTCATCGATAAATAAGAATACCTTCGCATCTCTCGTGGCGCAATTCTGCCTCAAGATCCTCTGTCGTCACCTACTTTCAATACTCTTTCCAATTTTACCCCATTTCCTATGAATATAACTGCGTCAGCAGATTGCATTGGAACAATGAGTACTTTTTCAAAATGAAAAATGAGACAATTGAAACCTTTGAGCGTATCGGACAAAGCGGGGATCTCGTCGTGTTGAAATTAACAAATCTCTTTCGATAATTTTCCGAATACCGAACGAACACGCGCCTCTTTCCAATGATTCCGCGACGGTCCTGATATCGTCATCGAACAAGGATTGCGCGATCGTAATTCCACCTCGCTCGACTTTATTAAATAATATTAGCGGTTACATTAATCCAACCACGCTTAGTTAATTTCCTAAGTAACGGGGCTTTTTCGTTTCGTTCCGTTTTTCGCGCAAACAGAATTAATTAAACTTAATCTCTCGGGCGCGCGCGCGCGCGCGCGACGATACGCCGCGCTTCCGTATGTATCCCGGTGTCTCTAAATCGAGGGTAGAGAAAGGGGCGGAGGAGGGATCGATTTCTTTCCCCGTTTCGCGTACGACTTCACGTGCGCGTTTCTTACTCGCGATTATGCAACGGCGCGGCGGGAGGGAGGCGGAGGAGGACGAGGAGGAGGAGGAGGAGGAGGAGGAGGCGCAGGTGCGGCGTTGGTACCTGTTGCACAACCGCATTATCTTCGCTCCTCGCTCCGCCGGTTAGGTAATTAATAACGACAAAGTCCAAGGATACGTGATGTGCGCGGCCGCGCGAGCACCATTAGGCGCGCATCTCGCGCGTTATTAAACCTCCTCCCACCTCACCTCCTCGCCGATGCACTCCCGCGCGGCCTCTCTCTCTCTCTCTCTTTCTCCCCCGACTTGCAACTGACCTTTTCGCAAGTGCAAGGTGCGCGCGAGGGGGCTGCATCGCCGCCGGGGAATCTCGTGTCGTAACTTATCGACGTTTATCTCGCGCCTAGCCACGGCGACGCGACGCGACGTCCGCCGCCGTCGTTGGTAAATAGAGATTAACATTCACCGCGCAACGGAACGGCCGTATACTCCTCGGGATAATTGCATGACAAAGTGCACGTCCGCGGGACCTGCGCGCGTGCATGCGTGTGTACGTGCGCGCGCGTTCCATTAAGAATCGCGACGCGTCCGCGTGGCACGAGAAAGGATCGGCGGCTGATTAGCTTGAATTCTTCTGTTCTCGCCTCTGTTTAGCGCTGCATTCAAGCCCTCGAGGATGCTATTATGAATCGCGCGCCTTGTGAAACGTCGCGCTTGTTAAGGTAATTGAATGAAGATCGAGACGGACGCGAGGTGTGTTGCGAGAATCTCTCAATTTTTCAGTCGGCGGCTTGGAAGCCGAGGAGAATCCAACGTCTTCGCCGACGGCGTGTACTTTCGAAATATTGTCAATTAGGTGAAATACGTGGCGAAGAAACGTGTGGGCGTGATTCACAAATTTGGCGCTCGCTTCTCTTCTAGCTGCGCCCCGTGTTAAACAGAAATGTCCTTAAAGCGCGGAGTACGCAATGCATGCTTCACGCGCCTATTGAGGAATCCCCGCGTATCTCTGCGATTCGGGTAATGCATTTCTCGATCGCACCTTCGATTCCAATGAGGAAGGGAGGGAGGAAGGGCGAGAGAAAGAGAGAGAGAGAGAGAGGTAGAGGGAGGAAGCTACGACGACGTATATCGCACCGTCAAAATCGCGTTATATTAGTCGCGTACGAGCGAATCCTCCTCCCGCTGCACACCCCAACCTCCCTCCCCTCCCCCCGCCGTGCGTGTACGCGCGTGTATGTTTGCGTGTGTCTCCATCCCCGTTCCCCGCGACTCGCCGTCGACATAAAGTACGTATCGCATTAGCGCGTTAACGCCAATGCGTTAGCCGCTCGGCCGGCGCCGAATGGCGGCCGGGATAAACGAGGATAAAATGACGGGCGGGGGTGGCCACGAGGTGGTGGTTGGACGTGAGGAAGGGTATGGAATTGTCACCGATTGAAAACAACGCGCGTCGCTCACGTAGGAACGGAACGCCGGGCGGAAGAGAGACGGGCAGAATCGAGAGGAGAGACGCGGGGGTGGGCGGGTGGCTGGGTGGGTGGGCAGAGAGACGGACAAGCAGGCGAGGGGGGTTGGCCGCGCTGGGGGTGCACCAGGGGGTGCATTCTATGGGGAGCAGCGAACAGTGTCCCGCTGCGTTCGATTACAACGTCGGGCGTAATAACCGAATTGCCCACGGCCCGTTAAAGCGTTTACACCGCTTGACGGATGATCGACCACGGTGACAACTCGTTTCGGGTAATATATGAATATGGACCGTGGAGCGCGTTAACAGACTCCCCGGATGAAAATGGCCGACGGCGTTCGTGCCTTATTCCGCGATAAATGACGTGCGCGCGCGGGCCTCTTCTCGCCTTACGCCGAGAAAACAACGGCAGCGATCCCGATCGGTCTTCTCCCCTTCACCGGCGACCGGTTTTTAGTGGTCGAATGACCGTCGCGCGTAATCACGCTTTATTGGAAAATCGAGTTAAGCCGAGGATTAGCAAGTTTTAGAATCCGCTCGTCTCGCTGGAGAACGAGCTTGTAACGCGTGAGATGTACAGAGAGTGAGAGAGAGAGAGAGAGTATATACCGCAGAAATTTAATTTTTAATATTTGTATACTAAATTAATCGACAAATTGCGTCAATAATGTGCTCTTAATCATCATAATACTACGTAATTGTGCGCGCTGTCAAAAATATGACAATTTCATTATTATAAAGAGAATCGGGGCTGAATATAAATCAAGCTACGTTGCGGGGATGTTGTGATACGATTAAAATACTGAAATCGTTACGAGCCTCTCGGTTCCGTCATTTAAGTCACCCCAATTTTGATAACGACGGCCGCATATCGGATTATAACAATCACTCGTAATGACCATGATGCTCACCCGTTAAACTGTTTATACCCGTTTACACCGGTATCGGGTGATCGATCAACGCGCGGCGGGTCGTCGCGTTTGTAACGAGAACGTAATTCCCATTCTCTCGCTTGCATTCAATAAAGATCACGCTAACGCGCGGTGACGAAAATGACACGTACGTAGTACAGAATCGCCCGAAATTGTTTTCGGATTTCAGCCGATTGCAATGTCGATTCTTTGTCAGCCAGATTCAGCTGACTGACGGACCACTTGACTTATTTATCAATCCTGACGATACTCTACGTTTCGCGGGAGTAACGCGCGATTCACCTTCGTCCCCCGAAAGAAATATTTCACGCTGTTGAACAATTAATAACTCAGTCGTTGTTGGTTTCGCAAAGTCAACCGAGTTTAACCTCTAATTAGTTTTCGTCTTTCCCTTAGTTTTCTCTTAGTTCTACAAAAAGACGAGGAGTCAATTAAGATTTAAGTTTCCCGACATCGGCGAGACTGGTCCGCGTGGTCGACCAGTTCTCGTTTCTCCCTGCCTCCCTTTCTTCCCCCCCCCCTCTCTCTCTCTC